CCATCCCTCAACTGACCCGCATTTCCTACCTTCTTGTCCCTGTCTTAGAAGGTATCTGGCTTGTCTGTCTTACACTGATTATTTGACTACTCCATACTCCAGACCTGATTTATTAAATGCAGATTTGAAAAACCTTAAGCAGGTGTTGCCTGCTGGAAGTATTTAATTTAGGGCAGTCTTGCCAGGCTACCTTCTCGTGGCTTATATATCTCTTGCTATAACTCTCCTTCCTCCCCTTCCCCGCCCCACCCCAACTCTTGGATTATTTAGCTGGCTCTTCATCTCTCCTCTCCTGCCACTGCATCTCTCCCATTACCCTCCAATTTGTTCTACATCTGGAGCAGGACTTAGTCAAACTGTGATTCTACCATAATTACCACAAATCACCAAATAAAAAGATCTATGTAGCATCACCTGGTCACTGAGGGGTGAAACTGAGGCAGGGGGCTTTGGAGGAACCCCAAACCTCTTAGCCCTAGAGCCTGGAGAAGAAAGTCTCTGTCCTTGGGCTCCTCCCAAGGGCTCCCTAGGTTTTGCTCCCTCCCCTGCCCTTTCCTGCCACCTGCTTCTTCTGTCCCACCCCACAAGGCACTGATGTATGGAAACGTTTCCCTGGCAAGTCTGATGGGCTAGACTCCCCCAAGGAAGGGCACTCATGGTCCAGCCCCTTAGAGAAGCCCAGGACCAACAGGCCTTGGCTGTGGCATCATGTCCTGGTTCAGACTTATCAAAGGGAAGTGAAGGGCATGAGGGGGTGGTGGGGGAAGAGACTGGCTTGAAGGGCTCTCCCATGGTTTGTGGGGCATGAGGAGGGGCAAGCTGTCCTGGCTTAGGGGATGGCAGAGCTCCTGTCTTTTTCCAGAATCTAACTCTGGGCATATTTGAATCTCCTCAGTAGCTGCCAGGTGTGGGGCATTGGAAAGGAGCATTTCCTGGCCCAAGGCTGGGAGCTGTGCTTTAAGGATCACAAGGGATTTGCAGTCACGAAGGGAGATGCAGAGGGAGCTGGGACTTGAGAGATTCCTTTTTCTTTCCTTACCAGACAAGGACTTTCCATGCCTTACTGGAGCTTGACAGCAATAGGCTCCTTTTCGCTCCTCACAACCTTCAGTCCCCCTCCAGACCCCAATTCCTCACCTCCCTCCTGTAGCTGTGATCTAGTCCTTGGAGCTTTGGTTTATTAGAAGGTGTTAGAAAAACAGTGCTGGGATTATTTGAGCTTTTTGTTTACTGCCACTAAGATTCACATTCTTTCCCTCATTCCCTCTTTTTTGGCCGATTCAGTACTTATTCAGCGTTTTTTAGAGGGGGAGCTCAAGAACATAAATAATCCTTCACATTTGCACAGAGCTGTATAGAGTGCTTTCACACACCTGTATAGAGTGCTTTCACACACCTTGTCTCATCAGAGACCACAAGAGCCCCTTGAAGAAGGTACTATTACCGCTTCTTATCGAGGAGGAATTGGCTATCAGAGAGATTATACATCTAGCTCGGCGTTACACATCTAACTCATGTCACCTGGCCCCAAACCTACTATTATTCCATGATTCTAAGTTACAGATGAAGTCTACTTCCCATCTATCATCTTATTTAATCCTGGCAACAACTCTAAGGTAATGTTATTGCTCCTGTAAGGATAAGGCAGCTGAGACTCAGAAGTTAAATATTTGTCCAAGGTCATGCAGGTGTTAGGGGTAAAATCTATCTGGATCCAAAGCCCGTGCTAATAGTACTGAAGAGGAAACTGAGACTCAGAGAAGTCATTTGCCCAAGATCACACAGTTCTTATGAGGCAGACCCAGAATTCAAATGCAGGTCAAAAATCCCCAAGTCCAGTGCTTTTTCAATTGCACCATGCTGCCTGCCCCAAGAACCTGTAGTGTGTGGCTCATTCATTCCAGTTCAGGGTGATCTCCAGGACAAATGCTGTTCTACTGTTGGATTTCGTCCTTAGCTCAAGCAATCTGTGTTCCCCTGGCTGACCTCTCCCTATTCACACCTCTCACTCTGTCTGCCACCATTTCCTACCACCCTCACCCCCAGATTCTGGGTTCAGCTCTTCTCTATTCTCTGAATTTGGGGACAGACAGGTCTCTAATGGTCCACGGGGTAACTGGGAAAAGAATAAGCAGGAACCTCACCACTCTCTTCTAGCATCAGAAAGGATAGTCTTCTGAGTCCCTGCAGTGGAAAGGAAGGCCCTTGAGCCAGGAAACTGCTCTAAATCCTGGCTCGGAGAATATAGACATTGCAGCTCTGTGGCCCCTGAAGAGAGTGACTGAAAGTGCTGGCCATGCCAAGGCAATAGAAGCCCTAAGACTCTGGGCAGGGCGGGGCAAGGGAACTTGGACTTGCCTGTAACCCTAACCCCATCCACCTACCTCTCCTCAAATCAACCTTGGGGAACTCCAGCAGATAATCACTGGGACACCCTATACCCTCATCAAGGACTTAGCTCAAGCTTCTTACACTCACTCCCTAAGGCTAGAAGGAAGACAAAATATTCATAAGAAAAAAGAATGAGAAAGGAAGGGAGTAAAGTTTGGTTGGAGTTCCTTGATTTTGAACCTGGGTTGCTAAAAGACTTGGCCATTCTAGATCCGATATTATATTTTTTTCCAGAGGAGATAATAGAGACAGAGTTCCTACTGAAGAACTGAGCATATCATTAGTTTTTTTGAAAATTTAAATCTAATTAAATATTTTTTATAAAAATAAAACTATTTATAATTTTAGTGCTCAGTGTCCATGTAATTGTCTTAGAGGATGAGTATCATGTTTCATGTGTGTTACATTTAGACCTACAAATATAAAAATGTAAGAATAATATAAATTGTTTAACACTACAAAATGTTCCTCAGCCACCATGTGCAATGTTGCAAATAATACACTAATTTATGAATACCTCTAGAACCAGAAATCGAACTCAAAGAAGAGCAAGAAAACGGATGCTCAGCACTACTGAGAAATAACAAGTCACACAAGACTCTATTACAGTCATGCTACCAGAGAGGAAGGATTTGACAAGTCAATTTTCTTTTCTCTTACTAACTTCTGTGATAGCTCACTTTCTCCCTGCACTCCAAAGCCATGTTTGTCTCCAAGTTCACACTGACACAACCCAAAAATCCTTCAGTGTTCAGATGTTTTTTGTTTGTTTGTTTTCGTCTGTTTTTCCTGAAAGCATAGGGCAAGATATATGGAGAAGTGTTTCTCTGGGGCCTGAACTGTGTTAGTCTCAGAAGTATGTGTTTAGGGTGACCAGTTGATCTGTGCTAGCACTGAGTACTGAATCCCAAGTGACAGAAACATCCTTGGGTTTTTAACAGACTCAGTTCTTCTGTGGTTGTAATATATGATACCTTCTAAAGCAGGAAGCCCAGGGCAGGGGGACTCTCTCGCTCAGGTCTAAGAGATAAGGTCTTATTTTATATACCCCGTGGTGCCTGGTCCAGGAAATCATGAAGGCCTCTATGGTAAGGAGGCCATGAATAAGCCGAGACTTCAAGATTGAATAAGAGTGATGCTATATAGAGAGAACCCTAAAGAGTCCACCAAAAACTATTAGAACTGATAAATGAAATCAATGAAGTAGGATACAAAATATTCAGAAATCAATTGCATTTTTATACATCAATAACAAACTATCAGAAAGAAAAATTAAGAAAACAGTCTCACTTACAATTGCATTAAAAAATACCTAGAAATAAACTTAACCAAAGAGTAAAAGACCTGTTCCTGAAAAATTATAAGACATTGAAGAAAGAAACTGAAGAAGATACAAATAAATGAAAACATATACTGTGCTCATGGACAGGAAAAATTAACATCATTAAAATGTCCATACTACCCAAAGCGATCTACAGATTCAGTGTAATTCTAATCAAAATACCAATGGCATCTTTCACAGAACTAGAACAAATAATCCAAAAATGTATATGAAACCACAAAAGACCCTAAATAGCCAAGACAATCTTGAAGAAGCAGAATAAAGTTAGAAGTATCACACTACCTTATATCAAACTATACTACAAGGCTATAGCAATCAAAACAGCATGGTACTGGCATAAAAATAGACACATAGGTGAATAGAACCAAATAGAGAACCCAGAAATAAATTCATACCTATATGGTCATTTAATCTATGACAAAAGAGGCAAGAATATACAATGGCATAAAGACAGTCTCTTCAATAAATGGTGTTGGGAAAACCAGACCAATATATGCAAAAAAAATAAAACTGGATCACCTTCTTATACCATATACAAGGATAAAATCAAAATGGATTAAAGACAAATGTGAGACCCAAAACCATAAAACTCCTAGGAAAACACATAGGCAGCAAACTCTCTGACATTGCTCTTAGAGATATTGTTTTCTGCTATAACCTCTCATGCAAGGGAAACAGGAGAAAAAAATAAACAAATGGGACTACATCAAACTAAAAAGTTTCTGCTCAGCAAAGGAAACTATCAACAAAACAAAAAAACAACCTACCAAATGGGCGAAGATATTTGTCTATAATACATCTAAGAAAGGGTTAATATCCAAAATTTATAAAGAACTCATACAACTCAACACCAAAGAACAAAGAAACAAACAATGCAATTCAAAAATGGGCAGATGACATGAATAGGCATTTCTGCAAAGAGGGCATATGGATGACCAGTAAACATGAAAAGATGCTCAACATCACAATCATGAGAGAAACACAAATTAAAAGCACAATGAGATATCACCTCACACCTGTCAGAATGGCTATTGTCAATAAATCAACAAACAACAAATGTTGGTGAGGACATGGAGGACCCTTGTGCACTGTTGATGGGACTGCAAATTGGTGTGGCAACTATGGAAAACAGTATGGAGGTTCTCCAAAAAAATTAAAAGTAGA